GGGAGGGGTACACCCTGGACAGGTCACAAGTCCATCACAGGGACACATAGAGATAAATGAGACAGACAAACATTCACTCTCACCCAAAGACAATTTAGAGTTATCCCTTAACCTGGCAGTCATGTTTTTGGTCTGTGGGAGGAAGCCAGAGTGCCTGGAGAGAACCCACGCATGCACGGAGAGAACATGCAAACTCTACCCAGAAAGGTCCCCGGACCGGGAATTGAACCGGTGACCTTCTTGCTGAGAGGCATCAGCTCTACCAACTGAGCCATCGTGCCGCCCGATATATGATAGTGCAAACTTTACAATAAGGGCTCTTTTATAAAGGATTTATCAACGCTCTTACAAACTGGTTATTTATGAGTTTGTAAACACTTTATAAAAAAATTGATAAGTATTTCCAAAACAACACTACACAGTGTGTATATTAGAGCTGCACAATATATCGCAAATATATCGTCATCGCAATATCAGTGTGCAAAATATTCATATCACAAAGGGTTGTTTGGCRTGCAGATATTGCTGACTAATGTATTTTAAGAGTTTTATAATATTTAGCCAGTAGAACAGTCTGACAGTAAAAGCTCACAGCAGACACAAACGGCTTTGCACATATGCTAAAGGTCACAAAGTAGGAAGTACAGAAAAAAAAATTCCAATATTTACAAATATTATCGCCATCGCAAGGTTTTTCTAATATTGTGCAGCCCTTCTATTTAGTGACTGAGGCTCATTATATGGAAAAAATCAATGTTTATATGTATTAAATTAAATGTTTTAATTATTAATCTAGCTTTTTCTAACTAATTTTGAATTTAATGCCAAAACAAACTTTGCCAGTGAGAATGGAGTACATATTTGAACTAAAAGTGTTTATTAATGTTTTATTACATGTTTACATCCTAATGAATAGCTGCAGGAGTAATTAGTCAGCTATAAGGATCCTCTGCATGTAAAGTAGTACCAGATAAAGTTTTCTTTTCCATGTATGTCAGACAGTTTCCTGTGAAGCCAGTTGATACTTGTTGTTGTGGTGTCTGTGGGGAGAAAATAGCCTGTTTAATCCCCAGCCCTCTCTGGGCTCATAGGTGAGATCAACCCGCCTCCAGTCAGACTCGCTGCTCGCAGTGTCACGGCTCGGCAGCTGCTCCTCTCCCGCAGATTGAAGGGGGGAAAACGGGTTTGGATCCGGCTTTTTTTCCGTCGATAAAACGCGTTAAATTATTTCTGCTGGAAATGCAGCTCAGACCCGAGGAGCTGAGAGGGGCGACGAGGGGTCAACAGCACGGAGAAAGCCGCGACGGAAAGTGAGCAACAGGTAGGAGATAACAGATTCAAGCTAGCGATGGGGGAGCTAGCAGCGCAGCTTCCGGTCAGCATTTCAAAATAAAGTGCCTTGGTGAAAGCGTCGGTGAAATAGTTTTAAATTAAACGTACACACGGCGCTTATTGGTCGGATGCATATAGATTAGTGACATATATTTAGTAAATGTTTTAAAGGTTCACATTACTTGCTGTAATATTTTTATAACATGTTTGTAATTGTGTCTAATTTTATTTTGAAGACCGTTTGTTAAGGTTTTGATATTGAGTTTATAAACTTCACAGTTTTTGATTTTTAACAAAAAAGAGTTTATTGGGAAAACAAGTCTTACAACTGTTAAGCCTCAGGGGGAAAATACGTACTTTGAAAAAAAGTTTAAAATATAAAATTTGGT